CCGAAGGCAGTCGCTTAACCGACTGAGCCACCCAGGCGCCCCTCTAGAGACTATTTTAAAGAGCTCAGTTGTGCCTTTATAGAGCTGCCTCCCTCGTTTGCCTGACCATCTTTGGATCAGGAGCGATTTTCTTCCCCCAGCAGTCAGGGTTGTTGTTGGCAAACGTGCACAGTTTAATTGGCACAGCTAAGAGTTTCAACACAGTCACCTCTGTTTACATATCTAGCCCTGTGGCTCTTCTCTTTCGGCGCATTAATTTATCTCGAAACTCTCATTTTCCCAGTTGTGAACACGTCGGCGTTACCTTCACTAATGGTGATGGCCATTTTTTGAACGGGTAGAGAAAGGGAATGACGAAAAGCTTGATGCCTACCACGTGCCAGGCACCGTACCAAGCATGTAACATACATTCATCGATCCTCCCGGACTTCAGGAGGTGGTATTCTCATGCCTCTATTAATGAAGGGGAAATCGAGGCTCAGCAGGCTTCATTACCTTGCCCACAGACAACTAAGTGACAGAGCTGACCTGGTCTTCCACCTGTGGCTGGAGAATCCACGCTCTTTCCCACCACGGTACCAATTATACACTTGCCTTCCAACAAAGCAGGTTGCGCGCCACAGGTGGTCACCTCCCCCCCTCCCCCGCCCTGATGGCCCTATTTTAACTGCCCAAGGAACTGCCTACCAAGTGATAATGGCAGGAGTTCTATTACCAACCAGGCTACCTGTCTGAGAAGACTTCAGTGGGGTGCTGTCATGGAACCGCTGTGCCGTATGGGAGCTCTGGAGAAGCTGATCAGACGATCTCAGAACCCCCGGGCCAGGGAAACATTCTGTATGGCTTGAACGTGGAAAACGAAGTCATACTGTACTGGACCATCTGGTCTTAATTAAATATGCTTAGCACTCCCTGATCACATCCTCTGTCCCCCATTAAATGCTTATAGATAGACACAAGTGTTTGAGGGGCAACAGGCTATTTTACTAGGAAGGCAGTGGAGAAAATAAGTCCTAGAAACCAGAAAAAAGGTTTATATTAATCAGTCTCCAAAGCTGGTTAAGAACACATCATTCTATTTACAGTACAGACTCCTTTTCCTTTTCAGGATGGTGGTGAGGGGTGACACTTACGGTGTGTTGATTACCAGGCGGTCCCACTGCCCCTTGATGTCATCTTCAGAGGGCTGTTCAGTGATATACAGGCCATCGAATTCCAGCTTCCTGGCAATTTCTTTTTCCCTTTTGAATACCACCAGAGGGACCTAGGAGTGGGAAGGCATTGGTTACTCAGAGAAGGCTTTCTGATTACAGCGCCCTCTCCCAAGCATTCCCCACAAATTAGCCTTTCCAACTTAAGGGCGGTAATCTGTCTCTCACTTTCCCTCTCTCACTTTTTTAAATGTATTTTTTTATTAATCTCTATACCCAACCTGGGGCTTGAACTCATGACGCTGAGATAAGAGTCACATGCTCCTCCGACTGAGCCAGCCAGGTACCCCTGAGGCATGAATCTCTTTGCAGTAGGATTCTTAGGGTGCCTAGGTATAGATCTGAAGCCAAATAAATCTCTCTCACTCCTTTGGCTAATACGCCCCCTTCTCCAAAAGGTGGTTTCATTTGGGCCACCCTTCAAGGTTTGGATTGAATAGGTGATAGTAATACAAACTGGACTCCTTGACTCATCCTGGGGAGAAGGCCATATTTAGGCCAGTTCCTAGGCCAAATAGGTTAGGTCCCCTAGGACTCCTAGACTAGAGTTGAACCAAGACTTAGAAAGAAAAGAACTATTCTAGAGTGGATTGGGCAGCCACAGAAATACCATGGAATGTTCCAGCCCCCTTCAATGGCTATGGTCATATTCATTTCATGGCATTGATGTTTGGTTGATGAAACATGGTTTGCTAGCTAGGAGGAGAGGATTCACTGGCTCTGTACAGTCTTTCAGTATTGAAGTTTTCTTCCTGAGAGTAGCACACTTACTGGTTCCCGACAATCACTCCTCATTCTCTTCCGGTTGTCACTGGCATTTTAGCCTAGAGATGGTGGCATGGCTTTGATGACCTACCACCAAAAATGTACACAGAGAAGGAGGGGAAAGTAATCCACTTTCCAACCATCACCAGACACACATACTTCAAATAAGGGACAGAGTTAGTGAGGTCAGAGGAGACTATTGAAATCCCAGGAAGTGAGCAACCAGGGGCTCCTCTAGCCAGGAAAGCTTAATGCAGACAGAGCCAGGGCTTGTCATGCGGCCAGAAAGCCACTGGTTACATGGCGACATCCCTCAGGCCTGGGTCTCCGAATGGTTTCTGCCAGTGACTCTTTCTCAAAGCTCAGGATATCCACATGCCCCACACTATTTCTTTATTTCCAAGAAAAAAAAAATTTAGATACTGATTTGTAAAGAGTTACTTCTTGCCCTTTTTTTCTTTAAAATGACAAAACACCACAGAGAAGATAAAAGACTAACGACAGGAAGGTGGCAAAGGCTAATAATAGGCATTTGCACACTGTGAGGAATCAATGATTGCTGCTCGCTAATGGATGATATGGGAGGGAAAGCAAAGGTAAAGCCACTCTGACTAACGACGTCTGCTGTATTCGGAAAGGATTCTGAATAATAATAATAATAATAATAATAATACCACCACCACCACCACCACCACCGAGGGTTAGAACAGTACTCATCTCTGGGATTTGAGGCACTCCCCGCTTCAGTCTCCTAAGGGTTTGTATACCCTTTTTTTTTTTTAAAGATTTTATTTATTTATTTGAGACAGAGAGAATGAGATACAGAGAGCATGAGAGGGAGGAGGCTCAGAGGGAGAAGCAGACTCCCTGCCGAGCAGGGAGCCCGATGCGGGACTCGATCCCGGGACTCCAGGATCATGACCTGAGCCGAAGGCAGTCGCTTAACCAACTGAGCCACCCAGGCGCCCCGTTTTTTTTTTTTTTAAAGATTTTATTTATTTATTTGAGAGAGAGAGAGAATGAGAGACAGAGAGCATGAGAGGGAGGAGGGTCAGAGGGGTTTGTATACCCTTGTAAGGAGGACCTCCCCATCTTTATTCCCTAGGTAGTATTTACCTTTTGTTTTCTCTAGGTCCCCGTTATATCTGCACCGAATCCAACAAGCTGAGCCCCAGGATGCTGGACTAAGGTAAACCACCAGCACGCTCTCGTAGTTACTATGTTTGGGGTTCTGAGTCCTGTTATACATATTACTTCATTTAATACTCCCAGCAACTTTTTGGAGTTGGTGTTATTATTACAACACTCATTTTTACAGATGAGCAATCAGGGGAATGGTGAGATTGGTGGCAGAGCTGGGAGTCCCACCCAGGCAGCCTGGCTGTAGACTCTGTGATTTCATCATTACAAAGGAGTCCTCAGTGTGGGTCAGGGCACGTGTTTGCCCCAGCAGGGCAGCTAGACTTCCCGCAGAATACTCTAGTTCACTGGGGGAAGTGACAGACACAAGGATAAGAATACATGTTGTGGACTCTTCCCAGGGGGAAGATGGCGTGGTGTATGGCCAAGGAGACTTGCAATTAAGAGAAAAAAAAAATGTAATGAGAAAAAAAGATGTGGTAGCGTAGTAGCAGAACCGGACTTGGAACACCAAAAATCGGATACGGGAGTCATACGCATATACGAAGACTCCTATAAGCGTAGTAGTGTGTGAAGATGGCCGCAGTGAACTAAGTCTCCTGATATTCGTACCCTGGTGTGGCTCCCGCTCGCCTCCTGTGCGTCAGTGACTCCGGGCTGACCCTGTGACTCAGGGATGCCCTGAGTCTTCAGGGAGACAGAGAGGCCCAGCTACCCCGGCTGAGCCCAGCCTTCCAACCGTTTGCTCCCTTGTCAGCGTTGCCGGCGTGGGAGCGTGTCATCGGGGACAGTCCAACCCAGCTGAGCTGACAGATGGTGGCTGACACGGCTGCCTTCACGCGGAGCAGAAGGACTGCTCAAGTGTGCCCAGTCGAGCCAGAGAACCAGAGAGAGAAAGTGATTGTCATTTTAAGCCACTAAGTTTTGGGGGCAATCTGTTACCTAGCACTGGATAACTGAAACAGTAACTCATCAGTAGGTTTTCTTCTGCTATCTCAAGTAGTTGAAACCTAATACGTTTTGAAAGGTGAAAAGCATCTTTATAAAAATTCCAACCTAAGTTCAAAGATCAGAAGGAGCTCTCATTACTAGCCCCACGTGTGACTTAGCCTGGTGATTCTAACCCCATGAAAGTCAACAGGAAGTGCCTGAAAAGGGATTCCCAGAGCAAGGCTTCTCAAACTACTGTGAATACAGATCCCCCGGGAGGCATGCTGAGCTGCAGATTCTGATTTAAAAGGCTCGGGGTGGGGTGCCTGGGTGGCTCAGTCGTTAAGCGTCTGCCTTCGGCTCAGGTCATGATCCCAGGGTCCTGGGATCGAGCCCCGCACCAGGCTCCCTGCTCCACGGGGAGCCTGCTTCTCCCTCTCCCACTTCCCCTGCTTGTGTTCCCTCTCGCTGTGTCTCTCTCTGTCAAATAAATAAATAAAATCTTTAAAAAATAAAAAATAAAAGAAAGAAAAGCCTCGGGGTGTGGCAAGAGTCTGCAGTTCTAACCCGCTCCCAGTGATGGCAATGCCACTGCTCCATGAACCTCCGTCCACCAGCAAAGTCCTGGAGAACAAAGACCTGGCTGGGTTCCAAATGATGTCTTCCCTAAGGAGTCCCATTAAATTCAGAGTGGCCAGCGACTCACCTTCAGGCAGTAATAGCCCACCACACAGAGTAAAGAGATGATGGTGTGGACAATGGCCAAGGCCCGCAACGTTGGTGCCATATACCCAGTGCTCTCCTGCAGGACAAAGAACACCATCGCTTCTTCCTCTTCCTCATCATTAAAGGAATTCCACAGGTTTGCAACGTCCTCTGTCTCTTCTTCTAAAGGTTCTTCAGTGACCTGGCCCAAGACACATACTCTCTTACCAACATCAGAGAGAGCCTCTGCAACTGGGCTCCCTCCGCCCCCCCCCCCCCGCCCATTTAGCTTGCCAGCATCTGCTGCACAGAGTAGTGATGCAGCATTACCTGCCGAATGAATGAGGTTTTACGGAACTTATTCCTAGGACTCTCCAGTATCTCTAATAACTACGAACATAATTTTTAAGAGACAAAGACGATCTCTCCAAAAAAACCCCCAAAATTTCAAAGTTAGGAATGCTGCACTACCTACGCCGTGATCCCTATGCCACGGCAGGTAATTTCTGAAATGCTGTGGCCTGGGGAGGAGGCTGAGACACAAACACACACGTGTACAAGTGCATGCACATGTGCACACATGCACACTCAACATTCTCCATGCTTTTTTCGACACCTGTGACATTCATGGCTTCAACTGCCATTCCGACACAGATGGCCCCCAGATCCACACCCGTGAGGCTTCCCCTGCAGCCCCACCTGGCTGGCTCTCTTCGCCGGGACGACTGTCCGCAGTCACTTCAGCCTTGGTAAGTTTAAACCTGAGCTTTGCCACACCCCTCTATGGGCCTCCATTTCTCCTCCACAGGCAATGGAAAGCCATTACTAGTTCAACCTAGTGGCAGGTTGATGTAGGTAAAAGCAGGTTTTATAAAAGTCAGATTGGTGTTTTAGATAGAAAGGGAGAGAGGCCAAAGTTAGGATAGCCAGTTAAAGACGATGTCGAGAATCCAGAACCTATCATTCATGAATTCATTCCACTAACATTTGTTATGTGCCTATGGTCTATGAGACCCACTTACCAATGTAATGACTAGAACAAGCCTGAACTCTGGAAATAGTGCCCCAAATGGCTTCCCTGGCAAGTGGTGTCTCCACTCTCTGCACTGCTAAAGACCATATCCCTTTAGAAGCCAATGTCTTAGAAATTTCCTTAGATATTCACATTTTTGCTCTAATTAAGAGCATACATCCTATTATGATTTTAGAAAAGAATATAGTCTATTTAGTAAATAAGCCCTGAATGCAGTATCACCTTATAAAAGAGTAGGATGAAGTTGATCGCGAAGGCTACAAACAGAGCGAGGAACCTCAGGTTGTAGAAATTCCTGGCCAGGTAATGCTGAAAAGGAAAGGACAGGCAGGAGTAGAAGAGTTTTAGAAGGGAAAGAGACCTTCCTTCCCTCAAACAGAAGACCTTTTCTGGCTAGAAATGTATACAGGACAAGTCCTACTCGTTGATAATCTCTCCTCTAAGACAATCCTGGACTTACAACTTATTTGGGGAGGAACCAGGGACACGGATTTAAAAAAAAAAAAAAATTGCTGAGAATGATGCTTAAGGGAACCCTGCTCTGGATTACCCCTCAGGGAACCAAATGCCTAAACACATCACCCCAGAGGATTCAAATGCTGCTGTGAAGGGGTGTGTGTGTGCTCGAGCGCTTGCGCACTTTCCACTCAGAAAGTAGTGTATTTGGAAATTATGAGTATTCAAGGCCCACTGAAGAGCCCTGTAGCTCCCAGTCTGGAGGTAGCCAGTCTGTGGCCTAGTGTCTTCGTCCCTTTGTAAGTCAGAGCCTCTGCCTCTGCCCCCTCAGGGGGCAGCATTCCCACTGCCATCTTCCCCAGAAGAACTAGCCCTTGAGGACTGGAATGATAGCTGCTTGGGGAAAGCTCTCAAGCTCTCTGTGGAGGGGGCTCTCCCCAGTGATGTTGTCCTGGCCATCAGCAACTGTCCCTCACTAGGCAATGTGCAGAAAAGGACATTACGAGCTATGCTGAGAGCTGACTGCATGTGGAAAACTTTTGAGGAGTAATAGGTGAACCTAACATAACCATATTCTTTTTGCATCCCAGATGACCCAACTACTTCTGAATTTTGGACTACAATCAGCCAAGTCTGCACATGACACACATGAAGAACCAGCTAGAAAGAGGTATCTGCACCCTTCTGCGGACAGCACAGGGCATCCCGGGCTGGGTAGAGGGGCTGGAGCGCTTGGCTTTGCACAGGTTACCTTCTTCTCCTTTTCCTCCAACACACAAGGACCAGAAGATGAAGGAGAAGAGGAAAGGAAGAGGAATGAGAAAGAGGAAGAAGCATAACGACCTGAACAGTGAAACAGAATGTGGCCACTCGTCTGAGGTCTGAGTCAGGAGCGGGGCCAGGGCTGGAGCGCTTACCAGTAACTTGGTCTGATAGATTTCCAGCCCTTTGAAGAAATTAGCCATGAAAGCTTCAGGCTTCTCGACTTTCTGGCCCCGCCGTCGTTTCTTCTTCTTTGTCATGTCTGCCCACAGAGCCTCGGCTTGCTCTTCCTCTTTGGCTGTATCCTCCTTCTCCCCATCTTCCAGGCTGTAGGAATGAGAGACCCATCAGCACGGAAGGGCAGTGGGAGGCCTGGCCCAGAGAGGGAGAAAAAGAAATCTTGTCATTATTCCTGGAGGGTGGGAACTTCAAGTCTGTATCACCCCACAGTGCCTGGATGTCAACTTTGCATTTAATGACCAATGCCACTTTGAGGAGCTGCGGTCATAGGGGTGCGTCAGTTGTAAATGTGTTTGTAGTCCTCTTCTGATATGGGGCTAAACAAATTTTTTTTCCCTTCAAAAAAGTTGTCCTTTATTTTTAAAGACTGTTGGAATTAGTAATAGTACCTATTCTTCTAAGCTTGTGGTAGGAATTAAGTGAGATACTGTATAAAAGACCTTAGCACACTGGGCCACCTGGGTGGCTCAGTCGGTTAAGCGGGTGGCTCAGTCGGTTAAGTGGCTGACTCTTGATTTCAGCTCAGGTCATGATCTCAGGGTCGTGGGATGGAGTCCCATGTCATGCTCTGAGCTCAGCGGGGAGTCTGCTTGAGATTCTTTCCCTCTCCCTTTGCCCTTCCCTACCAAACCCCCCACACTTGCACTCTCTAAAAACAAACAGAAAAAGACCTTAGCACAGACCGTGGCATGTAATATGTATTCAATATATTAGATACCACCACCACAATTATATGAAGTTGCTAAGTGTGGGTGTTCAATGATTTGTTTGGCCAGATGGTGAAATTCTGATCTTCTAGTGCAATGACAAAATTAACATGGTTAATGGAATATGTTTATTGTACAGCTGGGGTAAAAAGAAGTGTGTCCAGGGCTTGCACAATACCTGTTTCTTGTATTAACAGAAATCAAGATTTCTATTTAGCACAGCAATACAACAATAGATGTCGTCAAGAACTACCTGCCACAGCACTGCAAGTAGCCAAAGTTACCGGGAACTTACTCTGTCTTCTCGGGCTCCATTCTCCCTTCTGTTTCATGTGCTGCTTTCATCTCTGCTGCCTGGACAAAAATAACAATCAGTCAAGTTTTCCTCAAATTAAAGAGATCACAGTCATGAGCCATATAGAGCACTGGCCATTTTCATCTCCTTGGTTGCACGTGCCCATGGCTTTCTCTCTTCGGAGTGCCTCTGCTTTCCTCAGGATCACAGGATGCAAGTGTAAGCCACTCTGGAGAAATGCCAATGCAAAGATTGCAAATTTAAAAACTCAGTCATCCTGCTATTATTCAACACCCAGAGAAAACTTGTGTGAGGACCCCATGGCGCTGGTCCTACTGCCCCACGGGGTCAGGGAAGGATGGGACACAGATCACACCAGGTCCAATCCACAAGCTGCTTCCACCAGACAGAATTCCTGCCTTGTCTTCAATCCTCTTAACTACTACCCCAGTCCCTCTGACTGATGACCATTACACTTAGAATAAAATTCAAGCTCCTCAGGGAGGCCTGTAAGGCCTATGTGATCATGGCCTTTTTCTCCATCCTTGTCTTATACCACTTGACTCGTTACTTCCTACACCTAAACAGCCAGACCTCATTTTCTTTCCTGGCACATTCCAAATCCTTCCCTGCACCATGACCTTTGCATAAGCCACTCCTCTCCCTGGAGTATGACTGCCCTGGTCTTTCCTGGGCCTGCCATCCTTCAGGACTTGGTTCGGGTGACACCTTTTCGGAAGTCTCCTTAACCATCCTATTCATAGTAGGGCCCGTATTCACTTTGTAACACGTGGCCTTGTTCATTTCTTTCAGCACGTGTCACAAATGGTAATTATCTTATTGATTTGTTGTCTTCTTCCACTAGAAGTTAAGATCTATTAAAGCAAAAGTGTTGTCTCTTGTTAACCATTGTATTCCCATGGATCCTATGAACACAGCTGGGTATGTAACAGGCCTTGAATGAGTCCCTATTATGTATCAAACTCTGTCTGGGACCTGGGGCTACATGGGAGAGCAAAACAGAGTAAATAAATTCATATTGCATGAAGGCCTACGGTTCTGATGCTTCCATCCCAGACTCTCCAAAATTAGGTGAGAGTTCTCTCCTATACATTTTCCTTTATCTGGCATTCTTCCTTCCTAACATTCTTCATGCTTGTACTGACTTCCACAATGTCTATTTTTCTTCCACTAAATTACAGCAACAATGCACTTCTCACTCACCGCTGCCTTCTCAGAGCCCAAAACAGTGGGAAGCACATATTAATTATTCAATAAATATTAATGAAATGAATGAATAAAATTTGTCTTTGGCCTCTGATGTCTTTACACGTCTCTCTTTGATGCTAGAATGATGCTGTGAGTTGGAGGCTGCCATGGAGGGGAACACCCAGAACTTTCCATGACCAAGGGGCTCTGGATTACTGTTATTCCCTTAATCTAGTCAATTGACTCAAAGTCCACACTGGATAGTAGGTTCATCTCAAGAATGAAAATATTCCAAGCATGATGCTGGGCTAAAGGATATCATCTGGACCATTTGGGACACTGCAGAAGTACCATCTCAAAAGAAAGGTCTCCCCTTTTGCTCCCTAGGTTTCTCCCACTATCTGAAAGTATGCTTTATGCCACTTCACTTTTATGAAAGATCCCCATCAGGACCTGCCTATGCTAACTGCAAGAAATCAAAAAAGGATTTTTACCTTTATAAAATGATAAATGCTTCTTTGCTTTATGCCATTTCGGCTTATGACAGGTTTTTATAGGAACACTCTCATTTGGGTAGTGAAGGAAACCTCTCCCTGGTGTTCTATGCTTTCCGTTCACTCACTGAACCTGTGCACCATGAGGACTAACCTTCTAATAAAGTGGAAGACCATCAGGTTTGGCCTCCACAATGTACACTGAAGACCACTCAGCAACTAGACCCTAAGACAACCCTCTGAGTCTTGCTCTTCCCAGACATGGCAGAGAATTGCAAGATCAGGGTACAGAAGGGCTGGCATCTAACACGATGTTGGTGCCTAGGGAACTGGTGTCAGAATGGACAGCAAGTCCATTTCTGGGCATAAAGAAGAGATGACAGAAACAATTTGTGCTTACCTGTGCTTTCCTTTTCTTCTGGACGGTACTCTCTAGCGTAGGGGGTTCATCTTTGCCAATAATCTCAGAGAGGTCACCCAAACCCCCTTCGGGCCCATGCTTTAAGCCACCTTCCTTCTTTGGGTGGAATCCAAAGAGATCGGACATAATATCTGCATCTCCCTTGTCACCCTTCACAAAGTGAATTAGTTCAGGTGGCACACCTGGCTCAGTCACCTCTGCCCGCTCGGCATCCAGAGCATCATCATGGATACCAAACTGCGTTGGGTCAGGCATGTCACCCAGGATCTTGGTCACTCTGATGTTCTTTGCCCCTTCCACTAGGCCCCCTCCAAACACTGTGTTCCAGAGGATCTGAAAGATTCCTCCCAATATGGTGAAGAACAACCGGAAGAGCCCCACAAACAACATCCAGAAGAAAGAGAAGAACACCTTCACTAGCTCCTTCATCGTCATCTTTTTCACCTTCCTGTACTGCTTCCTGAGGTTCTTCAAGGTTGCCTTCTTCAGGAAGTTGGCAACATTCCTCTTCACTGAGGCATAGGCCATGGCAAACGCAGAGGCAGACTCAAAAGACTTGGCATCCTCCTCTTCACCCTCAATTTCTAACATATAAGATGAATCTTCATCTTCTTCCTCCTCCTCGTTGGGCCTGTCCGCTGAGTCAGATTCGGAGATCTGAGAGGCTAACTGCATTTCAAAGATGGTATCCTCACAGAAGTTCACAAACAGTTCCATCTTTTCCTGTTCTCCACCTTCATTGACCACATCAAAGATGAACTGCCGCTTCGATTCCTTCACTTGGGGCTTCTCCCATTGAGTTCGACTGGATTCACTGATCTCGAAATAAACGCGCTCAATTTTCTTGGCCCCACCCATGATCTCAATGCGTCCCAGGTAGGGTTCGAAGTAATTTAGTACACTTTCTGCTGGGTCCAACAGACACTTAAGGCGAGAATCATTTGGCATATGTTCGGAGAGATTTGTCAGTAACACTGCTACATTAAACCCTATGTCCTTGGCCGGCTCATGGAACCGGTTTACAAAATCAATGTAATTAAACATATCATTCTCATCAGCTTCTGCACACGAAAGGAGAAAGTCAATCTCTGACTGTGTGTACTGTTTTTGCCCTTCCATGGCCTTCTGGAACTCTTTTTTGGAGATAATCCCTTTACCATCTGGGTCATATTCTTTGAAGGTGTCTGAGCTGGTTAGGTCTTTAAGTTTCAAGAACATGTCAAAGAATTTCAAGATCATTTCTACATTGGTAGATGACTCTACCAGGGTGTCAACCATCTGCTTGCCAATAGTTCCATTTACCACATTCCCTGTGAGGCAGGTTCAAAAAGACATACAAATATATAAATAAACCCAAGTCATCATGTAACTGGTCAGGTAGCTATTTTTAGAAAACTTGTCTGCCCAACCAGTCGGCTCTTTTCTGACCGTGATGGTTTGGAAATGGGTAAGAGGGAGCAGCAAGCCATAAAGACTACACCACTAGGAGCCAAGGGGGAAAGAAACAAAGGGAAGAAGGAGGTGGCCACGCCAGTCCCTTCTTTCTGGACCGGGGCCTGGGTAGTGGTTTCATTATCAGATTACTGGGGACACATAGGGATAAGTGGTGCCCCTCTTATCCCCTTAGACCTCGTAGGGTGCCCAACTAGATGGCTGGCATACACACTGGCAGCCAGATGTACTGAAAAGCAATGGGGAGAGGGAGAGGTTAGGGAAGAGCAAAGCTTGGAGGTTTTCCCCAGTTCATTCTGGCTTTCCTATTAACATAAAATGAGTTGGTTTCAGGCTTTGTCCATCAGACCATGTGCCCC